AGCTCAAAGTAGTGTGAGTAATGCTGTAAGTAACATTCTGGAGATACTCTATCCCTTAGCACTCACAAACATGGAAGTCTTTAAGTTCTGTTTTCTTTGGTTGTTTTAAGCTTCAAGATCACTATAGATTGTAACATTCAAACAATGCTCATTCAGTGCCCCACAATTTACCTCCTCAGTTCTGAATTTTTACTTGAAGCTGTAGTTCAGACACACATTTCCCTCATGCTTGACCCTCCTCACTCCTCCCTTGCAATCACTACACGAGTACATACTCACAGAACTACCTTTCACTCCCTCCAGTCAGGCTCTTCTACTACTGACCCCTCTCTCCCCCACCCACCTCACTGATCAGGCTTCTTCTAATGCTTTCTCCCTGTAGGTGGAGTAGGACCTGAAAACAGGTTAAACTATGAATTTCATCTCTAGGACTCAACATTCTTTCCTATCACCAGGTATTTTTAATCAGAGCACTGCAATTACTTTAAGGAGCACAGTCTGTGAGGCTGTTTTAAGCAGTTCTCCTAACAGTCTTTAGGGGAAGGGATTTTGAAAAAAGTTAGGCCAAGCATTATTAGGAGAACAAGTATCAAGCTGCCCCTGAATGACGTACCATATGAGTTATATGCAGGCATAAAGTTTAAATGTGCTATCTAAAACAATCTGACAACGCTTCCTAAATAACAGAATTCACGATTTCCTACTCAAGCTTTCAATTGATGTGCTTTTTATTTCCACCTCAAAACACAGCAGTTTAGTCCTTAAACATTGGAGTAATTTCTTAAGTCATGGCAACAAATCCAAAAAATTTTTCCCATACAGTACCCATACACTCTGTTCATACAAACCTATTATTGTTGGTTGTTTAAGATGTTGACAAAAATTCAAGCTTTCTAAATGTCTGTTCACTGCACTGCTCTTGGACACATCAGAAAACTGTAACAAACCTTATGCTGATTCTATATTAACTGCCTTCAGCCTTCAGAACAGAAGGTTTCACGCTTACGTCTGTCATTGGCACAATAAGAAAAATGATTCAAGAAAGCTTTTCTAAAGAAGCAACATGGCATTAAGGAAAGCACTGCTACTACAACTACCAACTCATCTGCATCCTACAGGTGGCAAGTGTTCTGAAAGCAGGTCAGTAAAAGGATACCATAAAAATTAGGTATGGGCATGCCAATTAAAGATTTAAAGGCTTATGCTGTGCCACAGATTAGACATACAAAGTACCAAAACTCAAGCACTTAAAATATTTTCACTTTAGCTAAATTCATGGTGTTTTTTT